TCCCCCCCCCCCCCCCCCCCCCCCCCAGAAACACGACGACAGCACCCCTCTGTCGCTCGCCGTCGTGCACCGTCTACAAAATCCGGCCGCTCCTCCTAACACCGGCTCTGGCACGCAAGCCCAGCGCGCCCGAACGCAGCAGCCGATTCGTGACTGATCGTTTCTGCTGCTGCTGCTCGGCTCTGCTTTTGCGCAACCGTTGTACCATATTTTGCACCGAAGGCGCCACCCCCTTAGCCGCCCCCCCAGCACTTAACCGCCTGCCTGCACGCGCGTTCGTTGTTCGTAGGCTTTTGGGCTAAAGTCGCGCGGGCAGACCCTCAATGGTGGCGGTGGTGTTAAGCAGCAAGCCGGGAACAATCATTTTCGACCCTTGGGATCGTTCGACCGGAATGGGAATCAGGTCAAGGTGCGTGTATGAATCCCCCTCCACCGAAAAAGTACGCTCTTTGCTTCTCTCGTAGAATCCTCGGCGTTGCGAATACGTCGAAAACATGGCGGTCGTTGGGTGGTCAGTATTCTTCGGAGGCTTTTTCGATTGAGTAAATATGTCGGATACGAGCATGCAATCGGGGAAGTTGGGTTAATGTAGGGATAAGTTCTGCCCGTCTCCCCCTCCCTGGATCTACTTCCTGTTGAGATTTTTTTGCTCGCGAAGACGATTCGTGGTGGTAACTAGGGCAGGGTTAGTCCGAGGAGCGGGTGGGGGAGGGAAGGAGGCGCTAAAGAGTTCTCCCGCTTTTTGTTGCTCTCCCGGCCGGAGATCCGGCGGAGCCTCCTGCAGCCGCCCCCGCCGCGGCGTCCCAACGGCAGGTTGCGCCGTCACGGTGTGCTGGCCCGCTTACTCTCTAGCTTGCTTGCTAGCTTGCTTGCTCGCTCGCTTGGGACGGATGTCGTGCGTCGCAGCCGGCCGTGTTGACCCGGAGGTACCGACTACGTATATTTCTTTAAGAACAGCTTCCCTAGTTTCTCCGCTGGCAGTGTGTTCTTGGGCGGCCGAGCGGCGATCCCAGAGACCTGGATGGAGGCTTACGGGCCCATCGGCGCACTGCGTCGGTGTTGTCTATGCAGCGCATTTTCGTTGTCTATGCAGCGCGTTTCCATAGGGGATAGGGAGTTAACGTGGGTGTAGATCGTTTTTCACGTGAGGAGCTGCACGGCAGAACGCACTCGTTTTTGCTCTCTGTGAAGATGCCGCGGCAATGAGCGTCCCGACCACACCCGGGAAGTGCCTGCAGGCACTCCGTGTTCTCCTCCTCGCCTTCGGTTTTGGCTGAGAGCAGTTGGCCGGCCACCGTTTGAGTGGAGGGGTTGTTGCTGGGTGGAGGGGGGAGGGGGGGGTGTACTCACAGCCGTGTATGCCGTGGTGGTTAGACCATTGACCTCGCAGGGACGAAGCACGGCGGGTACTCACCGGACCAGAGGGGAGGGGTGTTAACCTACATCGTACGGGTCCCGCGTTCTACTTTGTTACCCGCCCACATGCACCCCGATTCACGCCCGAACACCGCAGCGAGATGGAGGGGGCTCCCGGGGACGAGGAAGCGGAGGGAGAGGGAGCGGCCGGGATACCATGCTGCCGACAAGCTCAGGAGCTGTGAGGAGAGATCGCTCTACCGTGAGTTTTCGCGTCACGTGCGCAGTGCGCTTGTGCCGCTTTTTTTGTGGTCGTTTCTCGCGTGAGAGGTGATTGTTTTTTTTCTGCGGTTGTTTCTTTCGGGCTGCCGTGGCTTCTTCCTTGCCTCTGCGAAGCAAGCACGCCCCCTTGGCTCACTGCATCACCTTTTGACCACCAGTTTTGTGAAGTGACTACCAAAAGGGAGTTTGTGTACCCGCTATGATCGCGCCGGAGGTTGCTCAAGAATGCCTTCCTAACGAAGAAACCAAGAACGCTTCTGAAGGCAGAAAACAGAAATGTCACACACGAGGGAGTTACACACAGCAGTGGCGCGCTTTCTTTCGTTTTGCTCCCAGTTGCGTAACCGATTGGTTCGTCCGCTTGAACAAAATTGGGCCGTAGGCTAGGGGGCCTACGTGGTGGATCCGTTTGCTGGCGCCGACTGCTGCTGTTGATCCCCGAAAAGCCTTCCCCTACAGCTACACAAAGAACGGTAATTGCGTGTTTACGTTCACACCGAGAAAGGGAGTCGCGCGTAGGAGACTTCCACGTTTCTAGGAGGCAACCTTCGATACAACAGTGTCAGGCTGGGGGGGGCGGGCGGAAAGATGCGTCCCCTACTCAAAAACCTGGCGCTCGGTCCGGCAGAGGAACCAAGCCGTTGCTCCGTTCCGTCTCCGAACGTACGTACGTATGTAGGTCATGGTTGCGGATTCTGGACGACCGCAATACCGTAAGTGACCCAAGATACCACATCCGCTCGACCGATTTCCAAAGCCCGATTACTCCACGGTAGAAGGAGTGGCCGTGCCGAAAGACAATGGAATGGTTTCGTCAAGAGGGAGCTTTCCGAAAACGTATCGTTTGGCTTACACGTCCTCTTCGTCGTGAAGTAACGGATATCTTGCGTCACCTACGATACCCCACCGGAAGAATGCTGCAGTCGACGAGCATTCCTCATACCGGACGGGAGGGGGTAGGTAGCTCGTGTCGAGTGCCGGTTAACGCAAACCCCAACGAGCGCGCTGATTCTGTACGCTGCTGTGGTTCGTTCCCCTGCCGCAAAACACCGAAGGGTGCGGCAACCAAGACCGCGACGAAACCCGCAGCCAAGCCCGCCCCGAGAAAAACCTTTTTTGCACCGGAGGAAGGGCATGCGAAGAAACCTGCGGTAAGCCTCGCCTCCCGCGTGATTGTTGAAGGCCAAAGTTAAACGCAGCAGCGGTGCTTGCTGCTGCCTCCTGCGGTGAAATTAGGCTACTTCTGCGACTGGCACGGCCGTGTACCCGTGTGTGATTTCGCCCCTCGCAGAACGCTCCGTGGAACATGCAGAATGGGAGGCCAGAGAGACAGACTTCAATGAGAATGATTACACAGCGCCCGCCCCCCCCCCTTCCCC